TTCCTATGCCAACATTGGCCTTTACCTTAAATAACTCCTCTTCCTCTGAGGTGTTTGTCCCTCTGATGTGTTTAGAAAGAGCAATTCTATCTCCCCATAGCCTTCATTTGGTTAGAGTAAACAAGGCAAGCTCCTTAAGTCTCCTCTCATAAGGTAGTTTCTCTGTTCCTCGAATCATCCTAGTTGCCCTTTTCTGCACCTGTTCCAGTTTGAATTCATCCTTCTTAAACATGGGAGACCAGAATTGCACACAGTATTCCAGATGAGGTCTCACCAGTGCCTTGTATAATGGTACTAAACACTTCCCTGTCTCTACTCGCAATACCTTGCCTGATGCATCCTAAAATTGGATTTGCCTTTTTTATGGCAGCTCAGAGTGATCCTGTGATTGAGAAATACACCCAAGTCTTTCTCCCCTCTGTCACTTCCAACTGATCCGTCCCCATCTTATAGCAAAAAAACCAAAAAACTTCTTGTGAGTCCCTAAGTGCATGACCTTGCACTTTGAACTGTTAAATTTCATCTCATTTCTGTTATCCAGTTTTCAAGGTCATCCAAATCTTTTATGATGTTGCAGTCCTCCTCTTTAATGGCAATACCTCCAAACTTTGTGTTATCCGCAAATTTTATTAGCACACTCCCACTTTTTGTTCCAGAGTTATTAATGGAAATGTTAAATAAGATTGGTCCCAATACCAATCCCTGAGGAGCTCCAATAGTAACATCCCTCCAGCCTGACAGTTCACCTTTCAGTATGACTTGTTGTAGTTACTCCTTTAACCACTCTTATGAGCTAGGCACAAAAAATGGAAAGCACTTGCCAAAGGGATCCATATGTGCTCTCCTTAGATTGTTTTTGTGTGTCAGTCACACTGGGATTGCAGCAGTAAAAGCCAGTAATTCTCAGTGTCCCTTCAGTAGTTTCCCTAAGATGGTTCTCTCACTGCTCTTATCTGCACCAGCTTTATCTTGGTCAACTCCACTGGTGAAAGCAATAGTAGAAGTGCTAGTAGAGAGTAGATCCTGGTGGTTTCCAGCATCTTAATCCATGTATCATCTCACTCTGTCATCTAGAAGAATTAGGCCTGTGTGTATGAATGGGATTAGGTGACAGGGTTGCCAGGGACTGGACTCTATGATCCTGGAGGACCCCTCCAGTCCAATGCCTGGCTATGTAGACCCTACAGTGGTAACAATTACTTTGCTCATCTACACTGGCACTCCCATCTGGTGTAGAAGCTGTAGTCATGGTACAGAGAACAATGGTGTTTCCTTCCATCAGCACCTAATGCAAACTTGAGCCAATGTAAGTGGGGACAGTAACTCTCTTCATGAGAGTGATCTAGCTGTTGGAGACTTGCCCTGGCATAGAGTCCAGTTGTGCTCTTTTTGGGGAGAGGAACATGAGTACTTGTGGCACCTTAGAGACTAACAAATTTATTTGAGCATAAGCTTTCATGGGCTACAGCCCACTTCATCGGATGCATAGACTGGAACATACAGCAAGAAGATATTTATACATACAGAGAACATGAAAAGGTGGAAGTAGCCATACCAACGGTAAGAGGTAATCAATTGAGATGAGCTATTATCAGCAGGAGAAAAAAAACTTTTGAAGTGATAATCAAGATGACCCAGAGAAAGTGTGAGGATACTTAACATGGGGAAATAGATTCAGTTAGTATAATGACCCAATCATTCCCAGTCTCTGTTCAAACATAAGTTAATTGTATCTAATTTGCATATTAATTCAAGTTCAGCAGTCTCTCTTTGGAGTCTAGTATCAGAGGGGTAGAGTCTGGATCTGTAAAAAGCAACAGAGTCTGCTGTGGCACCTTTAAGACTAACAGATGTATTGGAGCATAAGCTTTCATGGGTGAAAGCCACCATCCGACGAAGTGGGCATTCACCCACGAAAGCTTATGCTCCTATACATCTGTTAGTCTTAAAGGTGCCACAGGACTCGCTGTTGCTCTTTGGATTTTTGAATTTTTTTTTGTTGCAAAATTGCCACATTATTCATTATTTTAAAAAAGTGAATACATATGATTCTAATAAAGATGGCCAAGAGACAGGGCAGGTGGACGCTTCAGGTTCCCTGCACAGCCCTGCCAATTCACCTCCCCAAGCCTGTCTTTGTGGTCTTTCCAGTGCGGACTAATCCTGCACTGCAGTGACCCCTGCTACACCAGTCCTAAACTGCTATTTAGTTTTACCCATTAGCTAAGTGCCCAATTTCAGCATCCTCTGCTAGTCCAGTCCCAGAGACGACTGTCAGTCCTAATGTGAATTGTTAGCTCTGTAATGTGGGCCGTGGTCTATAAGAGACTAGTCCAGGAAGCCATGTCACTTGTGGTATAAGGTTAGTATGCTAAAATACTCTGTCCCCAGTACATTAAGAGAGCCCCTGCTAGCCTGTTCCCAGTTCTGGTGGGGGAGGAGGGGGACAGTCTAGCAGGGGCTCTCTTAATGTACTGGTTCAGCAGTTTTATTACTGCGGACCCCATGTGAAGTTAAGCAGAAGCCATAGTCTTAAATGTCAAATATTTAAAATGAGAAAAATAGCCTGTATGTTAGTAAAACTAAAAAATGCTCCCTGGATGCTTTTAGAGAAGCAATCTCCAGAGTTGCTCTGTTAATGGAGCTAGAGGTTCTCTGGACAGCACTAGTGCCCATTTGCAGCAGTGAGTGTTAGAAACTACAAGACTACTCTCCAGAGCTTGTTCCCATCTACCCACAATCTTGTGCCACAGAGGCGGAGAGTGGTGGTGGTGGGGATACTGAGCAGAGAGAACCACAGGCTGAATATCCACAACATTTCCAGCAGTGAGGTCTGAGAACATGGACAAGTCTGGTAAAGGAACAGGGGAGGCCCTGTAACTTGAACCATAGTGGACATGTCTAGGCTGCCGCTGGGAGCGAGTCTGCCAGCCCTGGTACACAGACTAGCGCTGGCTATGTAGCTGTTGTGGCTTAGGCTCTCAAGCTCCCCCTCCCAGCCCCAGAGCTTGAGCTCCAGCCCAAGCTGCAGCATCTACACAGCTATTTTTAGCATGCTAGCGCAAGATTGTGGACCTGGGCTGGGAAGCCCATTCCCAACGGCAGTGTAGACAAGGGGTCTCAAACTCAAATGACCACAAGGGCCACATGAGGACTAGTACATTAGCCCAAGGGCTGCATTACTGACACCTCTCCCCCACCCCGCTGCCCTCGGCCCCACCCCCACTCCACCCCTTCCATGAGGCCCCACCTCTTTCCAACCCTTTCCCCAAAATGGACAGTGTTCCAGTAGTTGGAGGGCTGCCTTTAACTTCCATAAAACAGAGAAGATTGCAGCTGCCCTTCCCTTTAGTGCAGTGGCATGAATATCAGGATCAAGATATTAAGGCTTGTAGCCCATGAAGCTTGCAGCTTCATCTTAGGATATCAATAACCTAATATCTTTCTTTCCCTTTAATGGGCTTTATAGATGGATGACTGTTGTTACCTCCACTTTACTTGGGGGAGAGGGGGAACTGAGGCACAAGGCAGTTAAGTGACTTCCCTGCGGTCACACAGCCTGTTAGTGGCAGAATTGGAAATAGAACTCAGGTCTCCTGCCTCCTGCTGTGTGGTGCCCTGCTGCCTCTCAAAGAGACCTCTAGAGGTTGCGCTTAGGTGACTTCTGTATTAGATCATTAACATGCTTTCCACAGCAGATCTGAGCCAGCATTCAGCCTGGATCCTTACAGAGTAGTGATTTCCCCTTATTTCTTTTCTTGCTGCTTTCTTAAATCAGCCTTGTACATATGAAGAATTCCTGAGATAGGAAAAATGGGACTTTTCTGCAGAGGTGGTGCTGGGAATGTAGAAGTCCCATGCACTAGCTGGGGACAGCTGTTTCTATATAGCAGCTTGCATTTCCTCCATTTATTTGACTATGTGACAGCTACACATGAGCAAGGATAACATGTTTCACATTAATTTCATGGGCCCTCCTTTCCATGGGGGGAGGAAGGAAACCATTCCTACCAGCAGCTTAATTCCCAATGACTCCCTCGCTGGTGAATTTTCTGGAGGGGGTGGGGTGTTTAAAACTGCATTCCTCTTCCTCTGAACGGCATTCTAACACTTCATTGGAGATATACACTTCTCGCGTGTGCAAGCTGTGAGGTAGATTTCAACCATTAAAACTAAATGGAGACTGGGTGGCTGACGGGGATGGGAGTGGGATCCAGCCCAGGACCGCAGTGTCCTGATTGCTGTCCTTGAAGTCAGGCCAATGCTGAGTACTTTGACTTTATTTGTTGGTGTCAGGGTTCTTGAGGGAGTTCCTAGCAGCAGGAGTCCAGAGCACCAGACTGCTCACTTTTAGCCCATCAGCTGAGACTGACTACAAAGATTAGCTTGGGCTTGTAGACCTCCATAGTGTGGGGAAGGCGGGATGTGTTCCTCCAAGGCAGGGCTGAGGTGCATTGGCATGGGGAAGATTGTGCTGCAGTGTCTCAGTACTGTGCTGCAGACAGAGGAATTTTAGGTGCTGGACTCTCAGTCTGCCACCTATAAGTAGCACCAAATTCACTTAAAGTGTTTTAGATTTGCAGGAGGCTAATGGCAGCTAAATGTGTGTGTTTAGCTGCTCTGTACTTCCCTCTGCTGTTCATCCCTGGGCCAGTCGAGCAGTCTCTCAAGCCACCAGAGGCCATGATGGCTGTTTTGGTGTGGGATAAGACCAGCACCCTCATATTTAACATTTCAAGCTGGACATCGAGCCCAGGTTTCCAAAGTCCCATGTAATTGATCAGATACTCTTTGTGTCTAATGGCTGGCTCTCACGTTGCTGCTCCTGACCTGTGGAACTAGTTGACACCCGTGCCTTAGTGTTCTTCCTTTTAGTCCACACAAGATGGAGGCTGTGCTGCTGGATGGGGTTTGTGGAGGGTTGAAGAGGCAAAGGTTGGAGCGAGCAGCTGTCTTGTCTCCGCTTGGGAATGTTGAACTTCCTGAATGTTTCCTTGCAGAGATGAAGCTTCTGGCTTTTGCTACCTAAACGACGCCGTCCTGGGCATCCTGCGCCTGCGTCGGAAATTCGACCGCATCCTCTATATTGACTTGGACTTGCATCATGGGGATGGTAAGGCAGCCATGCGGGCTGCTAAGTGGTCCTGGCAGAGCAGTGCTTCGGGGAAACTTTGTGGTAGCCAGGATCACCGAGGGGCTGTTACTGCAATGGAGATTACTAGCATCACTTTGTGCCTGTTTGTTTGGGTTTATAAAACCATATGCAAAGCCCCAGTGCTGCACTCTTGACACCTCAGCCATAAAATAAAATCCACTTCTTCAAACAAAATGTACACAAATGAACAGCCTCGCCCCATTACCGCTCTTGCATAGATTCCAAGTCCAGAGGGAACACCTGTGATCACCTCGTCTGGCCTTCTGTGTAACGCAGGCCATTAGACTCCCACAGCAGAATAGCTGTTTAAAATTATAGAATAACTTTTTAGAAAAACATCCCTGCAATTAATCAACCACAACTAAGGGAAAGAAAGCAGTTCTGCTGCCCCATAGAAGAAGGGTGATTAGGGCTGCTCTTCAGGCTGTGAAAATAGATGAGATTTGCATCATGGCCTGAAGTTCGGCAGTTTCAGGCTACTTTGACTATTTAGATGTGGGGGAGGAGGGAGGAGGCTATGCAGCTGAGGGCCCCTCTAGAAGAAGACCCTGCCAGTAGGTCCTTCTCTCTAACACCAAGCAGATGAATCAGCAGATGAACTGGAGCTAAACTCCAGCAGTACAGTACAAGGAGTGAGAGGTTCTCTTAAATGGGAGGGGCCAGACCACTTAGAGCTTAATGGGTCAGAGCCAACACCTTTACGTGGTTTTCAGAAACCAGTGTAGATCCAGGAGCTCTGGTATCCTGCCTTGATACCCTGTATAGCAAGTGTGGTTCTGCAGTCTGCACACAATTGGATTTGCTAGTGCAATCCCATGCCGAGTGCATGGTGATACCCTCAGGTCAGGGTGATAAAGGTGTGGATTAGTGGCATCCAAAAAAGTCCTAGCCTTCTACTTAATGGAGGTGTGAAACAGGTGTCTTGATTGCAGTGGCTGGGGATCTAGCTAGATCCTAAGACGGCACATACGCTTTCAGAGGGACAGGTATAATTCTGGCCAAATCTTTTAACTGTGTTCCCCAATCTACCAGTATCATTGCAGTCTTCAGGGAGTTGAGCCTTTGTCAGCTAGGCCAAATCCAGGCCCCAATCTCTACCTGATCACTGGTAGAGCGCACGACTGATTCACTTGGGTTGATATAAGTCAGGGGTCTCAAACTCAAATGACGAGGGGGGCCAAATGAGGACTAGTTCATTGGCCTGAGGGCCACATCACTGACACACACACCCCTTGCTGCCCCCGGCCTTGCCCCCACTCCACCCCTTCCATGAGGCTCCGCCCCTGCCCTGCCTCTTCCCACCCCTTCCCTGCCCCCATTCCAACCCCTTCCCTGAAGTCCCCACCCCAACTCCGCCCCCTCCCTGCCCCCAGAGGTGCAGGAGGTGTGCAGGGTTCGACAGAGGGCTCAGAGCAGGGAGTTGGGGTGTGGGGTTCAGGAGGGGGAGGGATGTGGCAGGGGGTTGGGGTGCAGGCAGGGGGCTCAGGGCATGGAGTTGGGGTGCAGCAGGGGATTGGGGTGCAGGCAGGGGGCTCAGGGCAGGGAGTTGGGGGGTGGGGTGCAGGAGGGCTTAAGGCTCTGGGCTGGCAGCGGTGCACACCGGTGCCGGGGCAGGCTGCCTGCTTCCCTGCCGGCCCCGGCCCCGCGAAGCAGCTGGAACCATGTCCCTGCGGCCCTAGTGCGCTGCTTGCTGCTCCTCCAGGTACCTCCCCCAAAGCTCCCATTGGCCGCGGTTCCCCGTTCCCGGCCAACGGGAGCTGTAGGGGGGGGTGGTGCCTGGAAACCAGGGCAACACACGGAGCCCTCTGCTCTCCCCGCCCCCCAGCCACAAAGACGTGATGCCAACCGCTTCAGGGAGCGGTGCGGGGCTCGAGGGGGGCAATCCCGTGGGTGTAGTTTGCCCACCCCTGGCCTGGAGGTAGGCTGGGGGGGCGCGCAAGCCGCAGGAAATAGCCCCGCGGGTCATGTGTTTGAGACCCCTGATATAAATGAAGAGCTAGGGCAGGGTGAGGTATCATCAGCGCCGTAGCTCGTGTCTCCTCGCCAATGCTCTTAGTGGGAAATGAACAGTGGTGAGGCATTGGGGCCCTGCAAACAGACTCGTGTATGGAGGAGGATGCCTAGAGTGCAGCTTTCACAAGCCAGAGGTGCTAGCTTTCATCTTGCTGTAAAGCAGGGTTCTCAAACTGTGGGTCAGGACCCCAAAGTGGGTTGGGACTCCGTTTTAATGGGGTCACCAGGGCTGGCGTTAGACTTACTGGGGTCCGGGGCTGAAGCCCAAGCTCACTGCCTGGGGCCAAAGTCGAAGCCCAAGGGCTTCAGCCCTGGGCAGCAGGGCTCAGGTTACATGCCCCCGGTCGGGGCTGAAGCCTTTGAGCTTTGGCTTTAGCCTCCCACCTGGGGCAGTGGGGCTCGGGCTTGGGCCCCCCAAACCGGGCCAGCAAGCTCAGTCTTCGGTCCCCACTCCTGGGGTTGTGTAGTAATTTTTGTTGTCAGAAGGGGGTCACAGTGCAATGAAGTTTGAGAACCGCTGCTGTAAAGAATGGCTTTTTCTCCACTTAGCAAGGTGAGGTTCCCTCAATTCACTTAGGCCCAGGTCTTCAAGGTATTTAGGCACCTAACTCCTATTGATTTTAGTAAGAGTTTAGGTGCCTAAATACCTTTTGAGCACCTGGGGCTAGTTGCTGACTCGTGATAGGAGATGTCTTGCGTGTCTCTCCCAGCCCCGGGTGCTTGCTCTGTATTATTAAAACACACGGCCCTGTGGTGGTGATCTGAGCAACGGTGGAATATTAGAAACAACAAAAGCTCTGTATTAACAAGCTCTAATTCTATTAAGCCCCTCCGCCAAGGGGTCTCAAGTAAGAGGATTTCCTCACGATCCCTTGCCTTCCATACAGAACGCAGGATTGTGTCATGGCCAATCCCAGAGCTTAATTGCTTAATGTCGTCAATGCAGATTTGTGATGTTGCAGCAGTCCGTACTAAATGATGATTCTATAAAACTAAAGCCGGAACGGTCCTTGACTGAAGCTGCTCTCTGCATTGGGGCCATTATTTCAACACTATTTAACGTTTCCTGCTCTCCTAATTTTTATGGTGTGTTTCATTTTGGTCCATTTCCCCACCACATTTGGTTTGTGTTAAGTCTTCTGCAACTTCTTTCCCAGCATCTATGTATATTAAAAAGAGGCTTGATGAACTGGAGTGCTGCTAAAAGGGATGGACCATTAACTCCGGTTCTAATCAGGGACAGGTCTGTTCCAGGGCACTCTAATTCTGAGTTGCCAGGCTGCCCTCTGCTCTTCCAGTCTGAGCAGACAATACCAATGCTGCGGACTTTTGCAATGATTTGTGATGTGGAGATGCATTCACCAATGATTAGGTTGAGACCAGCAAAACTCATTTCACTTGTGACCCACGCCACATTTGAACTAGTCTCCATTTGTTAAGGAAGGATTTACTGTGTCATGTCTGCCTTTTGCGCATTCTCTCCCCCTCCCCCTACTGCTTGTTTGAGGTGTGCTCTTGTGATTTCTTTGTAATGTGTAGTTCATGTGAGTAATTGACACCTGAGTTTCTTTCTCTCTCTCTGATAGGTGTGGAAGATGCCTTTAGTTTCACCTCCAAAGTCATGACTGTGTCTCTGCATAAGTTTTCACCAGGATTTTTCCCAGGCAAGCAATCTTCTTATGGCTTCACTAACTAGCAGAGTTTCTGCACTTGGGTTAAGTCCTGTCCCCTTCACTCTTTCCAGGTTTCCCACCACCCGTCTGTGTCTGCATCCTCTCTCTACCCAGAAAACAATACAACAGGAGCCCATACACTCAGTAGTGCGCTTCCTCAGCCTCTTCCTGACACTAAACCTCAAGGGCAAGCCCATTGCTAGGTCCATTCCACTGTGCTGCCACTCTCTACCTGGGCTTGTGTCCTGCTGTCTAGCAGAGAAAAAAGCAGAACATCAGCAGGGCTTGGATGAGCCCAGAAGGGGCACTGAGGGCAACCTCACCCTCTGTGTACCTTTAGAGGGGAGAGGGGACAATGCAATGAGATGCAAGGCACCCTTGCTTGTGCCTTTTTCAAGAGCGGGAGGCTGTGAGGCTCTAAAATGGGACTCTCTAGAGCTATGTCTTCACTTACTGCAGTGTGTCACGTACAGACACTACATGGTGCAGCGAAAGGCTCTGGCAGCGAGGAGACAGCAGGGACGCTATGCTGTTAAAAATAGCAGTGTAGACACATGAGGCACTGCTTGGGCTGTACACAGCCCGTGTAGAATATCTACCATGGGAGTTCAGGTATGCAGGGCACTCTAATCTTCTTGTCTAAGCCCTGTCTCACCGTCTCTACATTGCTATTTATACCCATGCTAGCTGGGTGGGCAGTGTTTGTACTCTACACGCCACCATAAATGTATGATACTGTATGAGTTAGCTTGTCAATGGCTAGGGAGGGCTCCATTGGCACTAGTGAAAGCTTTGCAGGACTCGGTCAAGAAACGTCTGCAGTCGTCCTCTTTACCTGCTTTCAGTTGTGATATGATTAGATGTACAGAAGCAACTCTTACCAGAGTTTTCCACTTTTTCATGTGACACACTGTTTGCTCCAATCAGAAGTAAAATTTTAAAAATAGCTTTTTTTGTTTAAAGGGAACATTTAACTAGTTTTTTAGGTTTAGTGTTAAATAAATCTTAAGAGCCTCAATTCATGTCAGCTTTTGTAATTGAAGGAAAATGTAATTCAGACGTCCCCTGCGATGTTGGCAACTCAAACGCAACAGTGCTGTGCAGAAAGTGTAACTGACTATGGAAATCCTTCATGAAACTGGCGAGTCTAGTTTTACTGTCTGAGCTGAGTGAAATGTAAAGTCATTGAAGATCATAAATGATCAGTAAATCTTTCTAAATCCATTCTGGTTTAGTGTTAGGAAATGATTTTCAGTGATACAGACCAAGAAACCTCTTAAGACAAGTTTTATCTTCACCATATCCTGTTCAGAGGTGGCGTGCAACCCATGTAGGTCTGTCCTGCCAGGTGCTGAGCCCTCTGGCCACAATCCAGCAAAGCACTTAAGCATGTGCTTAACTTTGAGCATTTGAATAGTCCCATTGATTTCACTGGGATGATTTACGTGCTTAAAGTTACAGCTATGGTTGTGAGAAAGGAAATATTATCCCCATCTTACAGATGGGGAGCTGAGTACAGAGAGACTGAGTGACTTGCCCAAGGAAGTCTGTGACTGAGGTGGGAATCAAACCCAAATCTCCCAAGTCCTAACCACAGGACCATCTTTCTGTCTGCCAGAATGGTATTTATTATACACCTTAGGGAATGTAGAGCCTTAGCACGTGGATAGGTCAGCAGCTTTTATCCAAAACTTCAGCAGTATCCCTTTAACTGTCTCCCTTTAGCATCAGATTCTACCAAAACCCCTTTCACTGTCAGTTGCAGCAACCTGTGTATAGATCTGGGCGTACACACTTCCCTCTCCCATTGTTGCTAATGTATTGAAATCTCTGAACTCTCTCTGGTGCTGTAGTTTGCAGAGTTTGAAATCTTAGAAGTATGTTCTCCAGGGCAGATACTTCTTGAACAAAGTAACTCAAAAACCTCCCCTGTTGGAAATAGAGTGCAGACTTCTCTGAAGGTGTACTATGCCTCAGATCTTCCCATCCTTTGAAAGACATCCCAGATCTGTTCAGCCAATGTTATTGAGCTCGTTTTCTCCTTAGCTGACTGATAGTTCGGGTTTGTTTTTTGTTGCTCAGGAACAGGAGATGTGTCTGACGTTGGCCTGGGGAAGGGGCGATATTACAGTGTCAACGTACCTATCCAGGATGGCATTCAGGATGAGAAATATTACCAGATCTGCGAGACGTGAGACCCATTTTCTATCTGTTTTGTTTGAATAGAGGATTTCAGAGAACAAAATCTGTACAGATTTTTAATAATCTTTTTATTATTTAAGTTGTGGCCCCTTTATGGTGTCAGTTTAAAGACACAAAGCTATGTTAACTGGTGAGCTTACCTTGTAGGATCCCAATCCCTATACAGATTGTATATACAGAAGCACTGAGCAGCAATGTCATCCACCTCTAGGTGGAAGGGGACAAGCACCCAGTTTATCTGTGTGTGTTTATTTTGAGGGGCAGAGGGTGTAATTTAAACCAAGCACAATGGGGCAAATATCTACTCTTAGACTAAGTGCCATGGAATCTCTAGTGTCCATACAGAGAGGGACATGGTTGGGGAACAAGGTTAAGGTTGTTTGCAAAGCATTTCAAGTGCAAACCTCCATTGAATTTATTTTATCTATCTTGGAAGGATTAAGGACTGAGCCATCTTTGCTGGAATTGGAACGGTTGGTTCAGAGGAGTCTAATTCTGCACCTTCACAGGTGCATGGCACAAACCACTAAATCAGCCTCTCTGGCAAAAAATGAAATCCAGGGCCTGTTTTTTTCTAAAGGTGATTAACTTTAGGACACTGCTGCTGCATGCATTTGTATGTCAATCTAGTGCTCATGAAAGCCAAGGGCTAAACCAGTTGCTAGCTCAAGACACATGATAGACAGTCATTGTGCAAGCTTCCCAATCCAGCTCTGGCAATACGTGTTTGTCCTGATCTATACAGTACCCAACTTCCTCCACTACCTCCATGATTCCAGTCCTGGATCACTTCTGAGCATACTGTGTCAAAATACAAAGTGATTTTAAGAATCCAATAAACATCCACCCAGGAGTAGAATGAGACCATCAGATTTGTTTCTACTTGTGACTGAAGTTGGGATGTAAACCCAAATTCAAAACAATTCAAACAGAATACATTGAAAATATAAAACAGTTGTGAAGTCCAGTGTGCTAAATGGGAAAATCTTACATTGGGCTGGAGAGTGTTAAATAAGCTAAAAGATCCCTTCCCTCTGACTTCTTTTTTGACCTACAACAATGATCATAGAGTCAAATTATCCATCCATTTACAAAGTGGTCATGGTATTTGATTCTGTGACCTCCTGTGACAATGAATTCTGTAAACTGACTACTCCCTGTGCAAAGTATTTCCTTGTATTCTTCTCATCAGTGACCCCTGCTGGCAAGAGAAGCCCCCTTTCGTGGGCCGCCTTTTCCTCTTTTGCAAATATCTGGGCTCTAGACTTGCTCTTTGGCATTCCCACAGCCAAGCACCAGTAAAAAGTTATGCAAAACCATGCCATTTCCCTCCCTCTTGGTGGCAACTGCCTTCCTCATCTCTATGGAAACTGACCCATTGCAGCACAATGATATAAATAAATAAAAAGGAAGTTTTGCTAGTGGAGTCTTAAGTCATGTGCACTTTGAACTTGCCTCTCTATAAATAAGAGTGCTTGTGTTTGAACACTTTTGTTGTAGCAGATAAACTCCTATTCTGCTCTTGGGAGGTATGGTATATGTATAATTGCCTATTGTTTCTGGAAATTGAATGACTCAGATTCCAATTAAATGTAATTGTTAGTAATAGCCGTTGTGTGGAACAGAGGCCAAGGTGTGACATTTGTTTTTTTAAAAGTCTGACGTCTTTAAAATATTGTAGATAAAGGCAGCCAGAGATGAGACGTTAGAGACTGGCAACAGCAGAGCTGGATACTCATCTGCAGCAGTATGCATCAGTCATACACAGTGTAGAGATGTCCAAGAAATCTGTACACACACAGTGCTCTGAAAACTTAGGCACTTACCTATTTACTCCATCAAAAGAGAAAGTTACGTGGGTTCTAGCTAATCAATGAGTATCTCTTATTCATAAGATCATCCAGAATAGCTAACTTATTTGATCTTCCTGAAAAAGTGCTCTAATTAGTGGGTCAGATAGGTACTTTCACATCTATTTTAAATATTAACCTTCTGAAGATAAAAATACAGCACCTGAACAACATTACAGATGTGGAGAACCATACTAATAAATAATCCAGAACTTGCAGGGGCATTTTCTTAATTCAAACAGAAATATTTCACAGCACGTTTATTCAAATTGCTGTAGCAGTTAGTATGGTACATTCACATTTAATGATGTGAGGAGGAGAAATTTACTTAATTCTCGTCTAACAGAGTCAGTGATGTACAAAAGCAGTAAATATTTGTAAAATAATAGTTCAGAAGGGTCATACATAGTACACACCAGTGCATAGCGTATTACTATACACATAAGTATATGGTTATATATTAGCAGTACATGCTGAGCTGCGGTATCAAGTTTTTCTCAGCATGAGTTTGGGATTGTTGCATTACTCTTGACTGGAGAAACCACGAGTTATGCAGGTCACCCCAAAAGAATGAATGTGAAACCTTTATAGCACAGATACCTTTGTGTGTTTTGTTTTTAGTACGGAAGGAGGTTTAAAATGTATTAGCAAGTTTAAGAAGGTTTGGAACTGGATGTTTGTATCCCATCACTGAAGGTCAGGAGCCTTAGTTACTTTGGGCCTAGTGATAACACCAGCAGTTACATTATATAGGATACAAGTATAGAAATCTTCAGATTTCCGCATGTGTGTTGACCATTGATTGCCTGGGGTTAAGAGGAAATGGCTGCTATGGGCTGGTTATTCCATATTATTGTGCATGTTTCTTGCCCCTACCTCTGACGTGTCTGGCAGTGGTCACTGTCAGAGGCAGGATGTTGGACTAGAAGAACCAGATCTGATCAGGTGTGGTGGTTTCTTCTGTACAGGCTTTTGAGGGAGAGAAAACTATAGTACATCTTAAACGTGATCTAAGCTAGCTTTTCTAAGCATTCGTGCCTTAGTTTCAGGACCTTTCAGGATCAAAACAAGGGTTGAGCCCCCTCTCGGGGAAAATGGAATCACCCTTTCACAATGGCACAAAATGCTCATTTCTAGCTTTGATGAGTCAAGCAATATCAGACCATAAACCATCTGCTGGCCTAGACTGAACAGTCAGTGAACATAAGAGAGGTGGGTGAATGGAGAGGAGAAAATATTTTTGTGGCAGATTGACTTTTTTATTAAACAAGACACCTGTTTAAAGCATTTCAGATTTTGGAATGTTAGGCCCAGTCCTGAGGAAATGGGATCAGAGATTAGAGAGAGCAAGTGAGGCAGATGGAATGTGCATTTATCACACATCTCTGTACCTTATAGTTTGCAGTGTTGTTGTAGGCCTGTTGGTCCAAGGATATGAGTGAGACAAGTAGGTGAGGTAATATCTTTTATTGGACTAACTTCTGTTGGTGAAAGTGACAAGCTTTTGAGTGTCAGAGCTCTTTCTCAAGTCTCGAACAAGTAACCAGAGTGTCCAAACTAAACACAAGATGGGGCAGATTGCTAAGCATAAGGGGTCCATGCATGCTGTATGAGACCACTTAAAATGAAGTGGGCAATTAAGACTTAGCAGGTGGGTGACCAGTTGGTGTAATGAGCCATAAAACCAGTGTCTCTGTTAAGTCCATGGTTTTTAGTGTCCAGCCAAAGTTATTAATTTAAATTCCCAGGCTTGTCTTTTGAAGGTTTTGTGCAGGTTTCCTTTGAGGATGAGGGCTGAGAGGTCGGATATGGAGTGATCGCTTTGTGAAAAGTGTGTGGCCTTGGGTGACAAGATGATCTTGTCTTATTGCTTTTCTGTGAGAGTTCATTCAAGAGCATAGTGTTTGGTTTCACCCACATAGTTATTGTCAGGGCATTTGATACACTGGAGGAGGTATACCACATGTTCTGATAGGCATGTGTAGGACCCATGGCTCTTGAAAGTGTGTTGGGAGGGGGAGTATGATCATTGTAGCAGTGGATATATGGCTGCAGGTTTTGCATTTGTTGTTCTGATAGTCTGGTGCTGCTTTGAGATGATGTGTCCTGGTGATGATGAGCGTGGGGATGTTGAGTTGCTTGAAGGGCAGAAGAGGAAGTTCGGGAAAGATTTCTTTCAGGGTATGCTCCCCATCAAATATGGGTTCTAATTGTTTGATACCCCACATGGGTTCTAATGTGGAGTGATAGGTAATACCTGGGGGTGTGCAGTCAGTGCATGTGTGGGCCATACTGTATAGCATCAGGTTCTCCTGGGGTATTTGGGTGACCTGTTCCATGATGTGTTTGTGACAGGTTCAGTCACAGAGACTCCCCTCGAGACTGTCACTCGATGAGCTGGGATACCACTGAGAACAATCCTCCTGCCAGAACAGGCGCCCCTCCACTTCTGTCTTGTTGAGTTAGACACTCCAGTCAGTTCCAGCACAGATCCAGAGGTTGGGCCACGCCTCTCTGCAGTTCACTGAAACGGAGATTCAGCCTTTTTGGGAGCCTAAACCCCAAAAAAATCCATTTTGCTCTGTGTAAAGCTTATACAGGGTAAATTCATAAATTGTTCACACTCTATAACACTGATAGAGAGAGATGCACAGCTATTTGCTCCCCCAGGTATTAATCACTTACTCTGGGTTTATTAATAAACAAAAGTGATTTTATTACATATAAAAAGTAGGATTTAAGTGGTTTCAAGTAATAACAGCCAGAACAAAGTAAGTCACCAAGCAAAATAAAGCAAAAACAGGCAAGTCTAAACCTCATACATTAAGAAACTGATTACAGGTAATATCTCACCCTCAGAGATGTTCCAATAAGCTTCTTTCACAGACTAGACTCCTTCCTAGTCTGGGCCCAATCCTTTCTCCTGGTACAGTCCTTGTTAGTTCCAGCAAACATCTCAGGTGATAAGCAGGGGTTTTCTCATGACTGGCAGCCTCCTTTGTCCTACTCCACCCCCTTTTATAGCTTTGTCTCTCTGGGTCCCCACCCCTACTTCCAAATGGAAAAGTACCAGATTTAAGATGGATTTCATTATCAGGCGACATGGTCACATATCACTGTAAGACCCCTAGTCTCCATT